CCATAATTCAGTACATGTACATATAGGACAGATCAATAATGGCTGCGATAACAAAATTTGAACCAGCAGCACTCACTGATTGTTTGGACCAGCTGATCCATATCTACCATTCCTTTATGGCAATTATTTTATGATTTTTTTTATTAACAACTGTAATCAAATATCGCATATTTATGTGTCTGATATATATAGATATATTGATTTGTTTATGTTTGTTATTTTTTTTATTACCGAATTATTGAAGGAGCCCAGAATTGTTAAAAACCATATTTGCAAAGATCTTTTTCTTTTTAGAAGATATGCGCAAAGATCCTTTTGTATCATCTATATATACTATATGAAGGGAAAAATCGAATCAAAATCGTATAATTTTTTAAAATAATTGACTTGAAAATGAAACGATCTGTGTACTTCAATACGTAATGATAGTCCAATCCACATGTTGGTAAAGGCATATTTTGTCTGATTATTGAGTTCGTTCTTTTTTTTTTTCTTCCTCTTAATATCAAAAAAAAAAAAAGAGTTCATTTTTCTGTGTAAACTAATAAGTACGTAGTACTACAGCTATTTTTTTAGAGAGGTGAGTCCAAGAACAATTTGTTTACAAGTTGATGATCAGCCATGCAGGCATACAATATTAATTTAATAAAAACTTTGGACATCTATAATAGAATATGAATATCCAATCTTCTAGAGAAAACTTATTAGTCGTTGATTACGTTGGTTTCATTAAAATGTATGTGATTGGACAATTGATGAAACCTATATTTAGCTTTTTCTCGTGCTGGGACCAAATCAGTAAAGGCCCATGACATCAGCAATTAACCCAGGTATCTATCAATTAACCCAACTCTGGTTACCCCTCTCCTTTCTCTCTTTTTTTTTTTTTCATTAAAACTTTCAAGTGATCTGTTATTTCTTATTAGTAAAAACGGTTATTTTATGTTCCGTTTATTTCACCGATTCGAGTTTAAAATTTGAGTTTTGTTATAGTAAAATTTTTTTAAAAACAGTAACATCTAACTTTTTTATTACAGTAAAAAATTATCACATATCAACTTGAATTAAAAACTCAAATCAACGAACTAAATAAGTCATTAACTATGATATTAACTTTTTAAGGGTTTGATTTGTGATTGTAACTATGTTTTAAATTTTTAATATGAACGCTCACACAAATAAATAGTTAAAAAATTAATTTAATTAAAACAACATTTCTTACTCTAGAAGAAAAAAATAGTTCGCTCCCTTCCAATATTTTTTTTCTTTAATTGAACAATACTTTTTTTTTTTTTTTGCTTTTCACGAATGAATTAGGTAATTAATGGGTATTGCTTTCTCAAACTTGTGTTGTTTTAGCACAAAACAGTAGCAGACATTGTCGTATCAGACATTGTCATAGTAACAAAGATTCTCCTTATCATGACAAAAAAAAAAAAAAAAAAAAAAAAATTCTCCTTTAAAAAAAAAAAAAAAAAAAAAAAAAAAAAAAAAACCTACATTTTATATCTCATATACAAGTGAAACTGCAGTAAAAGTGCAATAAATTTGTAGCTACTGCTCAAGAGATCAATTTAGTCTAACAATGACATGACAATAGTTCTATTACGTTGCATTTTACCTATTCTGCCACATATATGCATTTTTCAAATGAATCCATATATCAAACAGTTAGGGATGGCAATGGGCGGGTCACCTTTACCGCCCATCACAAACACTTGTCCCGTCTCGGGTCGGGGCAACCCACGGGTGAATTTTTTTTTATTAAAATATATTTTATTATTCAAAACTTCAATTCATTAATCACGAAAAACATTAAAAAATAAATAACTAAAATCTAAATACAAACACAAAAAAAAAATCCCATTAGTACATATTAATTTACATTATACATTACAAAAATGAATAAAAATAACTGTGTTTATCATACCCAGTTGGAGTCGGGTCCTTGAACGTATTCAGGTTAGTGATTAAAATTGTGATTCCTAAAAATGACCAAATATAATAAGTAGACAACAGCACCAACACTATGAACACTCCTATTTATTCGGATAGAGTTAGGATCTCGATACTCATATAAAGTGGTCAAATTAAGTGAGTAGGAATAACTTAACTTAGCGAGACCCATTATTTTATGAGTATAAATATTCATTTTTCCCAACACAAGAGATACAAAAATGACAAATTAACAACTCTGCAGAATCTGGGAACTAAATTGATCTGACTTGGTTAGCTAACTCAAACTGCAATAGTTAAACGGAATATCAAAAGCTCAAACTGGCAAAGAGCACGACGGGCCCGTTCACTTCACCGATTCGAGTTTAGAATTTGAGATTTACTACAGTAAAAAGTTCTCAGAAATAGTAACATCTAACTTTTTTGTTACAGTAAAAAGCTCTCATATAAAATCACATCTCAACTCAAATTACAAACTCGAATCAGCGAAATCAACGGACATTATCAACCAATTACAAGTACCAAAAGAGAATAATAACTCACTCTGAACCACAATTTTCTATGAGAGGAAACATGGTTATGAGCCTGAGCCGGCGTACGTGCGGTTGTGTGGGGGGTTTATATGTATATGACATTCATATGTTGTTTTTTTTTTTTTTTTTTACTTTACTTTTTTTAGGTTGTTTGGTGAAGAACCAGGGAGGGTTATAAATGGTGAATAGGTGAAAAAAGGGGAAGGAAAGATTTATCGAAGGCAGTGACGTGTATAAAAAAATATACTGATTCAAGTTGAGATGTGATTTTATGTGAAAACTTTTTATTGTAATAAAAAAATTAAATGTGTCTGTTTTTAAAAAAATTTTACTATAACAAAACTTAAATTTTAAACTCAAATGACAAAATAAAGGGAGAAAGAGGAAAATATGCCAAGACTTGAGATGAATTAAAATTAATAGGCTAATAGTTTACATAAGTTAATAAATAGGCCAAATTACTGTTTTCGTCCATAACTTGTATGGTTATGAATCATAACTTGACAAGTTATTGTCTATAATTCATGAGTTTTGTCCATAACTTGTCTGACTATGAACCATAACTTGATAAATTTATCCATAACTTATCTGATTATGAATCATAACTTGATAAATCATGACCTATTAATTTTTATAACTAAAAATTGATCTATATACTTTCTTAAATTTTTTATATTGACTTATTTTCTACTATTTTCTCAAAATAAATAAGGTTATAATATGCAAAAAGCATAATAGAATAGACCTTTTTAGCTGCTATCAATATTTTATACTATAGGACTCTCCATTCTACTTATGGTAATCCTTATTGTCCCAGACCACAAAGCTTTGCTTTTGTTTTTGCCTTTGCTTGGCTTTGCTTTGCTCTTGCAGTGATGTGCCAGCTGTGTTTGAGTGACACTTACCCATTTCTCATAGGCTGGAACCGTACACACGCCTTTGACGCTCATTTAACTTTTGCTAACTATTAGTCCCTCTCTCTCTCTCTCTCTCTCTCTATCTCTCTCTCTACATGTACAATTTTGCACATTTTAAAAAAGGAAGAATTCTATGTTTGGTCCTGAAAAATGAGAATCTTGACAATAGGGCATTATATTTTTCCGGTAGAAATAGATGTTTTTAACTCTTAGATTAATTTTTTTTTAATAATTACATTTACGTAGATTCGTGTTATAGGCTGGAACTGTACACACCCCTTTAACTTTTACGCTCATTTAATTTTTGCTAACTATCCACCTCTCTCTCTATGCCTACATGTACAATTTTGCGCATTTTAAAAAGGAAGAATTTTATGTTTGGTCGTGAAAAATGAGAATTTTTATGATAGAGCATTATATTTTTCTGTGCCGGTAGAAATAGATGTTTTTAACCGTTATATTAATTGTTTAACTGTTAGATTTTTATAGATTTACAGCGCGTCACATAAAATTTCTCTTACTGCACATCTGATTGTTAAAAAACAAATTCAACAACAAAAACACAATTTTCACCGGTGGAGCCAAATAACTTTGTTATCAGTGGAGAGCCACAAGCTTTTATTCTTAGGTCTCATTCGCTTCACGAATTTGAGTTTTCAATTTGAGCTGAGATGTGACATTTTCTCAGAGTTTTTAACTGTAATAAAAAAAGTTAGATGTGACATTTTCTGATAATTTTTAACTGTAAAAATTTAAAACTAAAAACTTAAATTGATGAAATAAACGAAGCCTTAATTTTCTTTTTATGAAATTTAAATAGTGCCCATCATTTGCAAGTAATTTATAACTATGACTCTATTCAATATTTAAAAATGTTAGTACGTTTATATTAAAAAAATGATGTTTTTAGTGTTCAAGAGTAGAAAATTTCTGAAATCGTCACATTTAACGTGACGTGGTAGTTTAAAATTGTATTATAACACTTGCGTGTAAATTTTTTTAATAGGCTTGCCTATAAGTTTTTTGGGGAGCTTCTTCAATAGGCAAGAACTTGATTTCTAATCGTTGAATCTGATTAAAATCACATTAAATTAAAAAAATATACATAATAAACATATATAACGATTGAAAGTGAAGAACTATCCGTACTTAATTTTTTTTAAACCTACCAGAAAAACTCTTTTTATATATATTTATATATACACACACTAACTACAATATTCTCCTTAAAAATATATATATAGTATAATATTTTTATGGGTCAATCGTCATAGAAACTCATATATAAAAGGAAGGGGAGGCTCATAGGCTTACCCTATCGTGTGGTTCCAATATATACTTTTGTCCTTCCCCTTCCTTCCTCACTTCCCGTTCCTCAAGAAAATACTTAAACCCACCTCAACCCCCACTCTCTCCCCCCCTCCTCACTATACTCATTCTCTCATTTCCTTACCCTTTCACGTCCATTTTTTTTTATAAAAAAAATATTTATAGATACACATGCGCACACATACATGTTGAAATTTATATGTGAATAGAATGTAAATCAAACAACTTGACTATGTTAATTTTTCACGATATCTAATGGCATTTTCTTCCAAAAAAAAAAAAAAAAAAAAAAAAAAAAAAAAAAAAAAAACAACCATTTTAGATACCAATCAGTGATACACATTTGTTAATACAATATATCCATATCGTTCACTTTCACCATCTTCTGTGTTTAAACACACTCCCAAAATATACATATACGGGAAAAAGAAAATGTTGCCGACTGAGTCGCCGCTTATCTGGGAGCCCGAGTCGACAGCGAACTCGTCCTCCAGCTCCAGCCCCAAAACGGCGCCGTACAAAGACGCCGGGAAATCGCGATCGCCCGACCCGGATCAAAAACGGGTCAAGAGACCGAGAGACAACAGTAACAACGGCAGCAGCATTAACAGCGAGCACCCGGTTTATCGGGGGGTCCGAATGCGGACGTGGGGAAGATGGGTGTCCGAAATCCGCGAGCCCCGGAAGAAGAACCGGATCTGGCTCGGAACCTTCTCGACCCCGGAGATGGCGGCGCGTGCTCACGACGTGGCGGCGCTAACCATCAAGGGAGCCTCCGCGATCCTCAACTTCCCCGAACTCGCCGGGTCCTTGCCCCGACCCGACTCCACCTCCCCCCGCGACGTCCAGGCTGCCGCCGCCAAAGCCGCCTCGATGGATCTGCCGCTTCCGGTTCCGGTTCCGATTCCCAGCCCAACGACACCGTCTTCCTCTTCTTCTTCATCGTCGTCGATGGCTGCCACGTCATCGAGCTACGACGTGTCGTCGTCGCCGGAGGAGCTGAGCGAGATAGTGAAGCTGCCGAGTCTGGGGACGAGTTACGAGTCGCCCGAGTCGGGGAGCGAGTTCGTGTTTGTCGACTCGGTGGATTGTGGGACGTGGCTTTATCCTCCTCCGGCGTGGTATAATGAAGGATTTGAGGATTATTATTATCAAATTCAAATGGCAATGCCATTGTCAGAGCCAGAGTGTGCCATTCCCTCTTCTGTTTTTGAGCCTTTTTTGTGGCAACATTAATAAAAAAATAAAAAGAAAAAAGAAAAATTTGGGCTTGTCTAGTTTGTTTGTGTGATTTCTTTCTTCTTTCTTCTTCTTCTTCTTCTTCTTCTTTCTTCTTTTTCTTTTTCTTTTCTTTTACAATTTTTAATGTGAGCCCCTTTCAAAATTTTTTCCTTTCGAAGGGGGGCTGAAATCTAAATACGTTTCTTGGTTCTCAAGTTTGTACTTAGTAGCAACTAGTTTTAGTGTTTTTTTTTTTTTTTTTTTTTCTGCTTTTACTATTATTCCCTCCACACAAAGTGGTTAAATTTTGCATTTTAAATGTCAAATTTCACATTTTTTTTCTTTTCTTTGGAATAATGTGTTAGGGATTAAAATCACAAAGGATAAGCTTCTTTTTGTTTCCAAGGTTGTTTCTTTAGTTGTATTTATCTATCTCCTGTGTGTAAAAATGTGTAATTTAAAGCCATTAATGAAGCTTGTTTCCATGTTTTTGAGCCCTGGTTATGAAATAAATAATAATAATAATAATTTAGGGGGAAAATGGAGGTTCAATTTTCAAGACATTCTTAACACTGATTAGTTAATTCATGGAATTCCTAAACTAATCAAAAATAGAACATGGGTTTTTGCATTTGGCCATTATGTATTCGTTTGACTTTGGAGAAGAAGATTCTAAAAACTGCATTTTGGGCAAACGTGAAGGGAGTTAAAGAAGAAGCACAAAAAATATCGTACGAATCCGTTTTCTCTGACCAAATAATGCAATAACACTTACGTTTGCTGAGGAATGCGAGATCATGACTATATACAAGTTCGTCTTCGTTCACTATAAATTGTCCTCTGTGAGCAAATAAGGTTATCAACCCATTATCCATATATGGCTAATTCACTCAAAGGTTCAAAGTGGTCCAATCCATCTTTAAACTTTTCCCAAACCAAATTTCCAACTTCTAATGAAAGATTTCACATTGTTGGAAACTAAGGAAACAATTTGGTACTGACGGGAAAACATTAAAAAAATAAAATAAAAATAAAAACTTGACTTAATAATTCACTTTAGAACATACAAATCTCTATCTAACCATTATGCATAATCTTCTGCATTATACAATGATAGATGATAATAGTTTTGGACATTTTGCATCATATTTGATAGCGATACATGCACATATAAGATTTTTTTTTTTTTTTTTTTTTTTTGTAATTTAGAAAAAGGGTATTAATTTGGGAAATGTGATAAATTTGTATGGATACAGATGAATCCTACTACTAGTAAGTAGGGAAAACAAGTACGGGTTGTTGTCAAGTTCTTGTGTTGATGTGTTGAGAAGATGGATTTTAGATTCTTGTTTATACAATCATTCCTTTATGCCTGTCTGTTAGGGAAAGCTTATTCCCAATGAAAGTTGCGCCTCAACCACCATATATTTGCAGGATCCTTTTATCTCTGAACTGTAATTATGTATGATCTTCTTCGACTTATAAATCCCTCATTTTATGCCTATAATTTTTCTTTTACTCATACTAAGGTTATTACTGACATCTATGTAGGCTTTATAAAAAAGGGTTTATAAGGGAATTAAGAAATATATAAGGGTTGGTCCTACACCATTGTATTGGCCCCCTGAATAAGGGCTGCTATGGGGTCATTAAAGATTTTGCTTCTTTGTTAGGATCTCCTTGAGGCTCTAAATAGCGGTTGAATTTAATATTAAGAACGCAACAAATTATAACTTTATGAGTTATTATTATTATTATTATTATTATTTGACTTGCAGGGTTTCACAACACTTACGGCTTGATGGCAGAAATTGATCCACGCTCAGCAAATTCTTAGTTAAAGTCGTAGGCCTAGTTCATTTCATAAATTTGAGTTTTCAATTTCAATTTTGTTACAGTAAAAAGCTCTCATAAAAAGTCACATCTCAGCTCAAATTGAAAACTCGAATTTGCGAAATAAACGAGGTCGTAATTGGTTCAATTATTTTAAAAAATAAAATTTATAAAATATTAGAATTATGACTTAAATAAAAAAAGAACAAATAAAATTACATAACGGGCTCTATCTCTAATAAAGAGAGATACAGAAAACTTGACATTGGATTAAGAAGAGACAATCGTTACATCTCTATTTTAGAAGTCTTTTCTTGGCATTTGTAATTAAATTTTTTCTATTTAATGGGGTTGTGTGTTTAACTCATTAACATGCGAGATTTCTCTGTTTCACTAGTAATTTCGATAGATTTTTAAAATGATGCTTGAGGACACCATTTATTTCCTTTTTTTTAAAAAAAAAAAACAGAGAGAAAACAATCAAGAAAAACTTGTTTATTAATTAGCTGGGTGAATTTTATTAAGGTTGTACCAAGAGACGACATAATCCCAAACTCATAGCACCTACTTTTGAGGGCTATAGAGAATGCAAAGCCTCGAATATAAATCAGATAATAATTACCTTGTCCTCCATGATATGTAAGGAAGCTTAAAGTTCCGTTTATTTTATTGATTTAAATTTAAAATTTAAATTTTATTACAGTAAAAAATTTTAAAAAATAATTATATTTAATTTTTTTATTACAATAAAAAATTTTCATATAAAATCACATCTCAACTCAAATTAAAAAATTAAACGGTACCTAAACTAAAACCCATTGGATTCCATTTCAATCTACCGTATATCAATATGTATGTATATGTACCATTAATAAGATGTGACTATCTACGAGTGTGACAATATATGGTAATCAAACAGCAAAGGATAAACAATCTGAAAACGACAAAAGCCAATCCAATTCTACCAATGCCACTTATCCCAATGCCCAAAAGAAAAATGCAAAAAAAAAAAAAAAAAAAAAGTTTTTATATTAAAAAAAAAAAAAAAAAGTTTTAATTTTACATAAGTTGTCATTCATAACGGGAAAAGGAGGGGGGAAAAAAAAAAAAAAGTTCCATCCATGTGTTACTAGCTCAATGAAGCTTTTGTAACTTTTTAAGGCTGTGGTAATTACTTTTTGTCCCTTTCCTCTCTTTAGAACCCAAAATCATTGACATTTAAGAAAAGGAGTTTGGTGAACTCTCAATTTTGAAGGAAATCTTCCATCAATAATAGTTTCACTGTTTTTTCACTGCATAAAGGGTTTAAATTAAATTGGCTTTACCACTTAGGAAGAATAATTTGATTAGAAAATTTTAAAAGTCAAACCTTGATGACCCCATTGCATGGCTGGAGGATGTGAGCTAAGCAAAGCAAATTGAGGATCCACTTCTTTTATTACCATCTTTTGTCTTCTAGGTAAGATTTTTTTTTTTTTTTTCAAGTTTTTATGCGTCATTATTGTTTTTGCAATATATACATTGAATATATTATTTTATGTGGTTGGAAATTGATAGTTCATCAAAGATTTGCAAATAACATTGATTTGATGTCCAATTAAAATCAATGAACCAATTATCGGTAACCCTCCGGTACACGTGTTTGCAAGGACATGCATTATGGGTGAGAATTCTTTGGATATTTTTATCAAGTTTCGTCCGACGTTTTTTTTTTTTTTTTTTTTTTTTAAATTGATATCATATGATATGATTATAATGTGATTTGACTCTTAAAAATTATGTGCTATTGATAAAGTTTTTTTTAATAATACACCCAATAAAATTCGCTTATCAAACTAAGGTCCCGTTTATTTCGCTGATTCGAGTTTAGAATTCGAGTTTTGCTATAGTAAAAAGTTCTCACAAACAGTCACATTTAACTTTTTTGTTACAGTAAAAAACTCACATAAAATCACATCTTAACCTGAATTAAAAACTCGAATCAACGAACTAAACGGGTCCTAAAAGTTCATAATATTTGACGCAACATAAACAGTGACAAACTGTAATTTAAGTTGTTTTTAATCCTTTTCTTATAGTTTTGGGATGTATATTATTATTTGACTAGTAAGTAAATAGGTAATAAAAATTAATGATGCATCTATTTTATTTTTATTTTTTTTATTTTTACAGAAAGTTTAATGTTGCTGCATTATCGATAAATTAATTATTCAGGGTGACAGGAAGGTGCCATTTATCAAATTGCTTAGAAAAATGAGGTTTCAGATTTGCGTTTAGGATTTAAATATTGTTTTTTTGGTGAGTTGTTGTAGTAATCATTCACACGTCCCCTTTAATTACAAAGTTGACCCTTATTATCCAAGGAATTAATTGGGAATCCCATCTTAAGTAATTTGGCAGCTTTTGCATAACTGTGTTTTCCACGTTCCTTGTATATTAGATTCTGATTTTTGGTCTCCCAATCTATGATAAGTACAGTACCAAAACTTAGTACTTATATATTAACCCTTTTCTGATCAATCAATAATAAATCAGTCAATTATTTTTCTAAAACTATATTATTTTTTTATTGATAGCTGTAGCTTTCTTCTCTCTCTCTCTCTCTCTCTCTCTCTCTCTCTCTCAATTTTATTCCCTGCTAAAGGGGGCTAACTGAGCGACCTCAAATTGGACTTTCAGTCCATATCATTCAGAGATATCCTAATACTAGGAATGTATTTTAACCTACCTTAAAGTAAACAAAACCATTTTCTCAAGTAACATTGAAAATTTCAAATAGGTTAAAATGTGTTTGCTTAGTAGACTTAATCATGTGACTAATACAAATAATCTTTGTACTTCACATTCATAACTTAGATGTGAAGTCAACAAATGTACTATTTTTTCCTTTAAAAAATAAATGTACTACTTCTTAAAAAGATAAAAAGTAAATATTTATATAGAAAATTTTGTTTACAAGGTATGAAAAAAGACTTTCTCTGTGGTGAGACCGCGTAAGAAATTTTATTTGTGGAACACTCTATTTTGATCATTATATTATTTTTTTAACGGTCAGATCTACAGAGAGAGCAGAGATATATTGCGCGTTATAAATTTTTAATATAAACATGCGCAAATTTTACCGTTAAAAACTTAATCTAACGATCAAAACAGAGTATTATACTAATGACTTTTTTTTAAGTGTCTCACCGTAAAAACTCTGATAAAAAATACCCAATAAAAAAATTATGATTATAAACCGTTAGATTTTCGTCAACTTTCTTAATAAGTTTGAGGTGATATATGATTCAAA